CCATCCAAAAGACAAACAACAACAAATGTTGGCGAGGTTGCAGAGAAAGGGGAACCCTCCTACACTGCTGGTGGGAATGCAAATTAGTTCAACCATTGTGGAAAGCAGTATGGAGGTTCCTCAAAACACTCAAAATAGAAATACCATTTGACCCAGGAATTCCACTTCTAGGAATTTACCCTAAGAATGCAGCACTCCAGTTTGAAAAAGACAGGTACACCCCTATGTTTATCACTGCACTATTTACAATAGCCAAGAATTGGAAGCAACCTAACTGTCCATCAGTAGATGAATGGATAAAGAAGATGTGGTACATATACACAATGGAATATTACTCAGCCATAAGAAAAAAACAGATCCTACCATTTGCAACAAAATGGATGGAGCTAGAGGGTATTATGCTCAGTGAAATAAGCCAGGCGGAGAAAGACAAGTACCAAATGATTTCACTCATATGTGGAGTATAAGAACAAAGAAAAACTGAAGGAACAAAACAGCAGCAGAATCACAGAACCCAAGTTATTGAACATAGTACTGGAGGTCCTAGCCACGGCAATTAGACAAAACAAAGAAATACAAGGAATCCAAATTGGTAAAGAAGAAGTCAAACTGTCACTATTCGCAGATGACATGATATTGTACATAAAAAACCCTAAAGACTAATGGTTACCAAAGGGAAAGGGACCTGGGCAGGAGGGGTGGGAAGGGAGGGATAAGGGCAGGGAAAAAGAAAGGGGGCATTATCATTAGCATGTATAATGTGTGGGGGTGGCATAGGGAGGTATGTGCAACACAGAGAGGACTAGTAGTGAGTCTACAGAATCTTACTACACTGATGAACAGTGACTGTAATGGGGTTTGTGTGTGGGGGACTTGGTGAAGGGGGGAATCTAGTAACCATAATGTTCTTCATGTAATTGTAGATTAATGATAATAAAATGAATTACGAAAAAAAAAAATAATGCTGCTAAACTAAATCTTTTTCTATACTAAGTAACACCATTAGGAAGAAGTTTAAATTTAATTCCTCTTCTCTTCAGAAACTAGAAGTCTTCTGGCAGAGAAGGCTAAAGTGGGAATTAAGCTTAAAGTTTGTTAAAACAAATGAGAAACATGAAAGGATAGTAAAACAATTAATTTTGGAGGAAGAAGAATGCATACACATCATTGGATAAATAAGAAAGCTAAGATTTAATAAGAAACTAATAATAGAGGAAACAAATATAAGGGGTGATACTTAACAAGTTTACTAAATATATGTAATAGTTCCCAGACAGAATATAATCATGAACAGAGTCATGAAAAACGAGGGTGTAATCCTAAAAAAAAGTTTTATTTTACCTTTCTAGCTTGCTGTAGAGCACACGTAACACATCATACTTCTTCACCAGTCGTGACATAGCATTATCAACTTTGGTACTGGTATCAATTTCTTTTATTAAGTCAAAGAATTTATAGACACTACAAGGAAAGAATAGGAAAAGTGAATCTGCTACTTAAAACATTCATTTTATTTCATTTTCAAAGCATACACATTTCAATTCAAACTATTATTAGCTCTACACCAAATTACTAGTATATCCTTTGGAAAAAATCACTCTTTGCATTTTATTTAAATTTCAAGAGAAAAAAATCAACTGGTTTTCAACCTATACCCCTATATCTATATACATATGCCTATATCCATTTATCATCAAGAATAAAGAAAAAAAAAGGGCATGACAGATACATACATATTTATTTCTATAGCTACCTACCTATGTTTTTAAAACTGTAAGTTCACAACCATTTATCCAATTTCAAACAAAACCACATTGCTCATTCCAGTTTTCCCTTTCCATATTTATAACTTTTCTTTGACAGTGAGAAATTTGGACTCCATTTATGTTTATTTTATTTACTCATTTAATCACCCCCTCCTCGTCCTCCCACCCTACCATATGTAACCATCTCCATCTCCAAAGCTACCCATTCCCCAAGATGGGCACTTTCCTCTCCTGTCTGGAATGACTCCCCATCCTGGGTTGCCCTCACCCATCCACATGACCCCTTCCTCACCCTAGAAGGACTCTGACTTCAACCCCAGATTGACCTCACCTCAGATGTGCCATGACTCTCTACGCCAGCCACCTGCACACCCTGCTTGGCCTCCTACACTGAAGGAGCAGCCCATCTCTGGCCCCGTGTGGATGTCCTCCTCACTCCACTTTGGACATGACATCCTTCTCTGGGTCCCATGGCTCTCCCCCACCATAGAGGCACACACCTACTTTCTTCTCCCCACTGATAGTTTTAGGACTGAATTGTTGGGGAAGAGAAAAGGTAAATCAATTAAAATATTTAAGTTGTTTAAATAATTATTTTAAATCATATTGTTTTCTATGAAAATTAACCCATTTGAAATACCAGTACATACATTTTTCACTACTGAAAAATAGGGCACTAAAGACAGGAATCATCAGCTGCACCTTATATACTAATTTGTAATCAAGTTTATCTATGGAATTACACCAAAACAGTTAACTGAACTAAAGAGTAGTTAGAGGCCCATCTATAGACTGTGCAGCAACCAATGAATTATAGGCTCCAATCCAAAAATGGGATGGACCACTAAAATTTACCTCTAGAATTTGAAAAATAAAAGCTTCAGCTAGTTAGCAGAGGACACAGAACCCAAAAGAAGGTTATTAAAATTTGCCCCTGATAAAGAAGGGATTGGGGCAGTCATGACAAGCTATGTGGAAAAGCAAATGAAGGAGTAAAAAGATATGGACAATTAGGATGTTACTTAGAATAAGAGAATGGAGCAAATGTGCAGATATATCCAGAGAAGAAAAAGTCAACCTTAGAATAGCATTGCCCTCTCAGTACCAGTTTTTATGAGATACATGGCAACATCTATCCATGGAGCACCATGTAAACTGTGAATTGTTACTATAAAGAGGGGTAACTTAAGTGAGTCTCTACTCCTTTTATAGCCCTCTGAAGGAAAGAAGAGAGGGAGGAAAGGCAGGCATTAAAATAGAATAAAGACATAGATCTGTAAATAACTACATATTCTAGAGCATTGCTCCATGGATTCATACTCGTCTGTGAACTGTTACCAGTACACAATTAAATAAGAACAGAAATTGAGAGTAAGCATTTAAAAATTTTATGGCAATTTGACACTTTCTGCTTACTAAATATAATTTAAAAATTGATCCTGTGTTTACTATGATTTTTTAAAATTTTTCTAGTAATAAATTTATATTTAAAAAAAATACCAGTCCATGACATATATGTCAGAATTTTTTTTTAAAAGTCCTTCACGAGAGCATGTTTAAGAAGCAGTGGTCTAGATAACATTCCAGAATAACTACCAGAACACTAGATATCCTAAGAAAAACTGTACCAAATACATTACTGCATTTATTGTAAGGGAGATTACTTATGACATGTCCAATTTATAAATAAGTGTTACACTAAGAACACTCACAGGAAAAAATTTTAGGAAAAGATTTGTCAAGAAAATTCTTTCATCTTATAGATAAAAGATGCAACAGCCCTATTCTGTCATATTTATTTGGTAGTCTATGAGTAGCTACATAACACTTTAATGCAGTCATCTTTTAAGTGTTTTCTTCCTCACTGGATTGATTTTCTTGAGGTCACAGACTAGTTCTCATATCTCCATCTATACCATTAGAACCTAGCATAGTATCATAGTGCCTAACAGTTGTTTAAGTTTTCTTTCCTTCCTTTTTCTCGTAAGGAGAAGACATGGGGCGGAGGGTGGCTACAAAAGGAAAGAGATTCATACCTCATCAGTGACTATGGCTTTACAGGTACTGACTCTATGAACTATTTACCTCTCTACTCATTGTAAGTTGTTTAAATCCTATAATTCTATGAAGTAGCTAATAATGTTCATTTCACAGATGAGAAACCTAAAATTTAATAAGCCTAAGCAATCCATTCCAAATTATATAGTTTGTAAAACAACAGAACCCAGTTTTAAACCCAGTTTACTGCAACCTAAACATCCATATCCTTTCCCATTCTGAGGATACTAAAACCTTTGCTGAGTAAATGAATAAATTAATATGGAAATTTGTTTATATTTTTAATTTTCAGTTATATATAAACTATTTAGACTTAGTGATTTTATTTAATAAACTTAAATTATGAAATCCCTGAGAAGTAAATCAATTCAGATTCAATAGGTAAAATATGAATATAGAAGGCCTTTGTTGCCATATTTTATTTAGAGATAGTAAGAAAAAGTATTACCAAAAAATGCAACAATTTAATTAATCTCATTTGGATAAAACCTCAATTATGTTTAATTCTAGATGGCTTTATCCAAGAAGAAACATATAGTACTATTTTTTGGAAAAATGATTTACTGTTGCATTTTGTAAATATGCTGCAAACAAAAAGATCTGACTGACCATAAGTTCTAGAAGGCTTCTCAAGATAAAGTTTATGAGTTAATGGAAACAAATTAGTAAACTCTTCTTTCAAAGGTTATAAGTCCAACAAGAAACATTAAGTAATTATTGGGGCAAGTATTATAATAGATACTCCAATGAATATTTAGCCTCAAAACGTATATATCTATTATATTAATCTTAAACATTAATAAATCTTGACAAAATTTCTTTAATATAACAAGCCTACTTTACAAATTCTTGCTTTTTTTGTCCACCTTATCCATAGCTATAATTAAAAAGTTTACAGATACTGAAAGACACAATGAAAATTTTCTCAGGACACAAATTGATACATTTTTAAAAAAGCACAGCATACATATACCCTCATTAGGGGCTCAATGAGAGAATGATGACAGTTAACTAGCTGACCTAAGTCCTTTACAATTTATTTTTAGTATTTCTCACTAATACCCTAAAGTCTATTAAAAGGAAAGTTCAAAATCAATTTTAATGCCAGAGGCTCATACTGATGTAAGAAATTTTACCTGGTTTCTATGTTTCTCTGTAGCTCAGTAAAAGTGAATGGCATCTCATCTAGGTCAATTGCTGCAATAAAGATACAGACTCCCCATAGTTCTTTTTTCTTCTGAATATAATCTTCCTGGGGAAGAAAAAAGGATTCAAATATGTCATTAAATCATTTACACATTGGATACTGTGTTAAAATTGTATTAAACGTGTTTTTTTTTCTTACTTAGCATAACAAAATAAATGTTTTTAAATCCTTATGATGGCATATACTTGAGAGTATTTAATTCTACACTAATAACAAACAATTAAATTTTATATTGTAAGGTAATATTTTAAAAGCCTTTAAGAATTATTAGAAAAATCAAAAAGTTAAATTACAACTTATGTGTACAATTTAGGGGTGAATCATTTCTTTGAGTAAATATTTTCATTTTTCAATAATACAGTATCATCAAAGCCATGTTAAAATATTTAGAGCTCATAATATAAATTGTTTTTAAAAAATAAGCCAACTTTTGAATATCTTCCCTTTGCTCTAATTCATTTTATCACTCATTTTATTCACTCATTCTTTTATCAATCTACTGATTCAAGTAATTTGCAGCCTTGTGAAATTCATATCTTTCAGTACCATAATTGTCTTCTTTGTAAAATGAAAATAATAATACATAACCTCACTTTTTAAGAATTAAATGAGATCATATATATATATATAAAACCCTTGATATAATGCCTGGCATATAATTAGAAGTCAATGAGTGATGACTATAGTTATCATTAGATACACATTTTCCCCTAAAAATATATATCACTTTCTAAATATGCAAGTTTTATATACTTTATAGATAAAATTTGTATTATATTAAATAGAAAATAAAAGAAGTAACCAAATTATCTGATGTTCTATTAAACAACTAGAACTATTTGTTTACTCTTAATAGGGGATTGCAACAGAGCTGAAAAGTATGTGACAATTACATTGTTTTGAAATCTCAACTACACAAAAACTTTTGGAAAAGAATTGTTCTGTATTTTCAAATTTTATGGATAATAAAAAAAATCTACCATTAGCCAACTTTAAACTTCTCTTTCATTTTAGCTACTTGGTAAATAAATATTTTAAAACTTGTACTGCAACTATACACCTACCAGAATGCTTAAAATTAAAAAGACTGACAATATCAAGGGTTGATGAGGATATAGGGCAAAGGAACACTCAGACATTGCTGGTGGAAATGTAAGATGGTACAACCATTTTGGAAAACAAGATTGACAAATTATTATAAAGTTAAAAATATACTTTTCACCACACTTAGCATTCTATTCCCAGATACTTATACCCAAGAGAAGTGGAAACTTTGTAAATGAGTATTAATAGCAGCTTTATTCATAAAAAAACAAAATCTGGAAACAACCCAATATCCAAAAACAAATGAATAGATAAACTGTGGTATACCCATACAATGGAATGTTATTCAAAAATAAAAAGGAAAAATACTAATAAACACAACATAGACAAATCTCAATATTATTACACTGAGAAAAAGAAGCCAGACACAAAAGAGTACATACTGTGGGATTCCTTTCATATGAAATTCCAGAAAAGACAAAACTAATCTTTAATGTCAGAAAGTAAATCAGTGGCTGCATAGGAACAGAAATGGAGGTGCTAGGAAATGACTATAAAGAATGACATAATGTTCCAGAGTAATAAAGAATTCCTATATCTTAGTGGTGGTAATTACATGGTTAAATACACTTGTCCAACTTATTGAAATATTTACTCAATACTGGTTGATTTTAATGTTATATAAATTATACCTTAATAAATTTGATTTTGAAACTATATTAACTACTTACTATTTATGATTCTGAACATAGAAAGTTTATGCTGTCTGAGTGTTACAATGATTGAAAGGTATGTTTTAATAAAAAGAATGGATATCAACTTTTATACATGTGTTTATATATGTTTATATTTATGGTCAATATTTCAGAAACTACTAAAATGTAAAGAGTTGTCTCTATAACATAAATTTAATATAAATAATAAATAAGTAACTAACACACTTTTTAAATTTTTATGCTTACTTATGACTTTGGTTTGCTTCTTTGCTCTAAGGCTGAACCTAACTGCTCTCAAGGTGTCTGTTTTCAGCAACTCGAGTCTTATTTTTTTTTTATTTACTCTTTTCAAAGTTGAAAATGAAGTAACTAAAGTTATTAAATTGAAAATGTTTATTTTTTTTAAACAGCAAATCTTAGTAGGACCTACCCAACACAATTCAAACACAAACTCATTTGAAAAGATAAAATGCCTAAATGAGATGTTGTATAAATAGGTTCGGAGTTTTAAAGACCTGAGGAATGTTAGTATGAGCAAAATATATGACCTTACTTCAGATGATTTATAAAACTTGTTGCTGTTGTTTTGTTCTAGCTGTATTCCAATTAACCTCATATTTAAAGTGTCATCTTCAGACACACTTTTCTATGGAAAAAAATAAATGCCCCTTCTAAACTTAAGACTATTAAATATTTTAATCACCTATATTTGATTTAGTTCTTTAGAGGGAACCAGATTACAGTGGAGGTCAATGTTACAAAACTGGATGATTTATTCACAAGCAAATATTTTTGTTTATCTATGCAAAAGAAATGATCAGTTTCTAACTAGGAGAGCCCTAGAAATAGAATTTCTAGATTAAAATATTTAAGATTTTATATGTGTGTGTATATATATATATATACATATATATACACACATACACAAATGGAAAGAGCTTGCATTTTAGTTCTAACCAATAATATACACTTGGTCTGATCTTATACCTGGATGCCACCAAGATTTGCTAGAGGGAAAAAAAAATCCTTAAAGCCATGAAGGTCAGAGTCAACTACAAAATCCTGCTCTGTAGTCATTTTCACTTTTTAAAACAGCATATTTTATTAAGAGACAGACCACACAACTTAACACAAAGTCATTTGATATGATAAATGACTAAAGGAAAAACAGCAGTCTAACTAACAAATCACAGTTATAAAAGTCATATCTTTATCTTCAAACAGGTTTCTTTGCATCTTCCAATTTGCTTTCTTATATCTTCCAATTTGAGATCTCTAGCAATTTTTCAAGAAATATTCATTATGTAACTGCCATGGTTATGACTCTGGGGATACAGCAGTGAAAATGGAAACAAAAATAAACTCTCTGTCTTCTTGGGACTTACATCCTATTATTTATGTTAAAAACATGGATTTTGGTGTCAAACATTCAAGAGTTTGAATCTAGTTGTGTAATTGTGGTCTACTTTCTGAAATCTAATTAAGCTTCAGTTTATACTAAAATAGGGATAAGTGTCTACTCATATAGAGTCACGGAGAAAATTGACAGTGAAGATGTTCTCAAGTAATCAGCAAGGTGCCTGGCATTGTACCCACTGAATCAGTTAGCTATCATCATCAGCATTACTATTTTAAACCATGAATCTACCACTCATTCCACTACATCATATCTGCCTCAACATTATCTACTATCTGATATTCATATGATAAATATTCATTCTTTGGAATACTGGAGTTTGGTGGTTTTGTTTTTGTTTTTTTAAGAGATCAACTTTGTTAGCCCCCAGTCCCTGGCAACATTGATCTGATTTCAATTCCTTTTTACTGACTGTCATACAAATTGGAGTAATATGGTTGGTCGTCTTTTTTGTCTGGCTTTTTTGACTTAGCATACTGTTCCTGAGGACTCAATACATAGCTGTATCTAATAGTATTTAATACATAGTTGTATTTAATAGTATTTATTCCTTTTCACTGCTGAGTAGCACTCCACTATATGATTATGCCACAGTAAGTTCTGTTGTTTTTTAGTTATCCTTGTGCATGTGTACTGATACGTTTTCCTAAAGACTAATGACATTAAGTATTTTTTCAAATCTTACTTAACATTCATATCTCTTTGGTGAAGGGTCTTTTCAAATCTTTAACCAATTTTCTATTCAGTTATTTGTCTCACTGAGCTGTAAGTTATTTCTACATTCTGGGTTCAAACCCTTTTACAATATGTGTTTTGCAAAAAAAATCTACTCAGTTTGTGGCTTTTCATTTTCTTAAACAGTATATTTCAAAGGGCATAAGTTTTTCATTTGATGAAGCTCAACTTGTTTTTCTTTTATGAATTAAGCTTTTGGTGGTATTATCTATGAAATCTTTGCCTAACCCAAAGTGACACAAAGATTTTCTTGCTTCTATGCCATTTTCTACAAATTTAGGTATATGATTCAGCTGAGTCAATGTTTATACACAGTGCAAGGTAGGGATTGAAGTTCATTTTCTGCAGAAAGATGTCCAATGGCTCCAAGCATCATTTGTTGAGAGGAATGTCCTTCCTCTGTTGAATTACCTTTGTACCTCTGTGTGCAAAGAGTGTATACATGTGTGATTTCTATTTCTGGATTCTCTGTTCCACTGGCCTACTTAACCTTGTTTACCAGTACTACAATGTTTTGATTAATGTAGCTTTATATGTTTTGTTCTTTTTTTAGTTCAGTTTGATTCAAGATTTTTCAATCTGAAGAGGTAATCTGATTCACCTCTTACTGTGCAGATTGAGAAGTTAAAAATTGTTAACAGAGGAAAAATAATTCATTTTACCTAGCCAAAAGAATCACCAAGAAAAGAAATAATAAAACATAAAGAAAAAGGAGGCAAAGGACAAGAACAAGCATTTTGCAAAAGAGAAAACACTACTTTCCAAAAAACACATTTTGAAAATATTGAGTCTCAGAATAGTGTTAATTGAAGGGCACTTTGTTATATGCATCAAGATTCTTATGAGGTCTATTTTATATCTAAAAATGTATCCAATGAAAATAATTGGAGAGTTGAGTCAAGACTTACTATAACAGATGTTTAAAGAATTATTTATAATAGCAAAAATAGTGGAAAGGCCCAAATATCTTAAAATTCAATGGTTAAGTAAATTATGATGGAGTTATGTCACGGAATAATATAAAACCTTTAAAACATTTCAAAGATTTTAAGGACATGGGAAAATACCAAAGATATGTTAAGAGAAAAAGACAGCAACACAGAAAATCCTGTGCACATTTTTATTCCAATTTT